AACACTAAAGAAACAAATTAAAAAAGACGTAAACAAATGTAAGCACATACCATTCTCATGGATTGGAAGTATAATATCATCAAAATGTTCATACTGCCCCTGGCTTGTGTAGCTCAGAGGACTGAGTGTGCGGCTGTGAACCAAACAACCGTGATTCAATTTCCAGTCAGGGCATATGCCTGGGTGGCAGGCTAGTTCCCAGCAGGGGACACATGAGAGGAAACCATACACTGATATTTCTCTCCCTCTCTCGTCCCTTCACCTCTAAAGATAAATAAAAAAAATATTTTTAAAAAAGTCCATACTACCCAAAGCCACTTATAGATTCAGTGCAATCCCTTTTAAACTACCAATGACATAGTTGACAAATAGAGAATGAATATTTCAGAAATTTATATGGAACCATAAATAACCCTGAATAGCTGCAGCAATTTTGAGAAATAAGAACAAGGTAGAAAGGCTCACAATACCTTATATCAAACTGTATTTTAAACCCACTGTAATCAAAATAGCTTGGTACTGGCATAAAAACAGGCTCATGAACCAATGGAACAGAAGAGAGCCTAAAAATAAACACAACTCTCTGTGGTCAATTAATATTTGACAAAGAAAGAAAAAGCATAAAATGGTGTAAAACTAGTGTCTTCAACAAATGGTGTTGGAGGAGCTGGACAGCTACATGCAAAAAAAATGAAACTTGAGCACCAATTTCCATCATACATGAAACTAAATTCAAAGTGGACAAAATACTTAAATATAAGTCATTACACCATAAAAGTCTTTCAGGTTTAGAACATAGGCAGGAAAATCTCAGATATTCCAAGTAGTGGTATATTCACTGATATGTGCACTAGAGCAAGGAACATAAAGGAAAGAATAAACAAATGGGATCTCATCAAAATAAAAAAGCTTTTCCATGGCTAAAGAAAAGAGTATGAAAATGAAAAGAGAACCAACCATTTGGGAAAACATATTTGCAAGGCTATCAGATGATTTCTCAAAAGAAACCTTACAGTCAAGAGGGGCTGGAAAGAAGTATTTGAAGTCATTAAAGATAAGGATCTACATCCAAGATGATTCTATTCAGCAAATCTATAATTTAGAATGGAAGGGTAAAGTGCTTCTCAGATAAGGTGAAGTTAAAGGAAATCATCATCACCAAGTTCTTATTATATGAAACATTGAAGGGACTTATCTAAGAAAGAGAAGATAAAAATATGAATAAAATGACAACTAACTCACAACTATTAACAAATGAATCTAAAAGAAAAGAAAAACAACAAAAACTAAGCAAACCACTAGAACAAAAGAATCAGAGAAATGGACATCACAGAGAGGGAGGTCAGTGGGGAGGGGAAGGGAAAAAATAGAGGGAAAAGGATACAGGGAAGAAGTAGCATAATTCATAGGTACAAAATAGATGGGGAAAGATAAAAATGGTGTAGGAAACAGAGGACTCAAAGAACTTGTATGTACAACACATGAACATGAACTAAGGGGATAGGAGATGCTGAAGAATTGGGGGGTCAGAGTGGAGAGGGGACAAAGAGGGGAAAACTGTAATAGCATAATCAATAAAAATACTTAAAAAAGAAAAAACTATGGTACATTTACACAATGGAATACTATACATAGCAGAAAGAAATAACTCCTACTGTTGCAACAGCATAGATAGAACAGGAAAATATTATGTAAGTGAAATAAGCCAGGTGGTGAGGGACAAATACCATATGATCTCTCCTTTAAATGGCACCTAATCAACAAAAGCAAACAAGAAAGCAAAACAGAACCAGAGACATCAAAATTAAGAATAAGAGGATAGTAACCAGAGCAGGGTATAAACTGGGGGAACAGATTTCAGATAAAACTATAAAGGACACATGGACAAAACCAAAGTGGGATGGCAGGAGGGGAGGAGGGTGTAAATGGCTGGGTTTGTGGTAGTGATAAATGCAAATTTACTTGAACAATGACTCTTTTAAAAATATTAAACCAGGATAAATGAAAAAATTTCCAGAAAAATATACTCTCACAGAACTGAATGAATAAGCAGGAGGAAGCCTAAAACAGGCCAGTAAGGTGAGGAAAATGATGGAGTAATCGGGAAAGTCCTGGACCACAAAAACCCTGAATCAGATGGTTTCACAGAATTTTGCAAAACCTTTAAGAGCTAACCCCTATTCTTCCAAAAAATTCAAGACGAGAGAAGACTCTGAAACTTTTTATGAAGCCAGCATCAATCCTAATACCAAAACCATAAAAACATAACAAAGAAAGAAAACTGTAAGCCAATATCAATAATGAACTCAGACTCCAAAGTCCTCAACAAAATATTGCCTAACTATATCCAGAAACATTTGCAAGATAATAAACCCAATACATCACATACAAAAAGAAAGACAAGAATCACATAATGACATCAATAATTGCATTAAAACTATTTGAGATGTCCCTAGGAATGGGAGTGATTTTGTAAGGAAAGAGGAAGAGAAAATGCTTAAGAGTGAGGAATGAAAACCAAGCTAAGACAGAGAGAAATTAGAGACAGAAAAGAAAAAAACAGGAGATTAAAGGAAAATAAAAGAGTAGGATGACAGAGAAAAAGAATAAAGAAATATAAGCTAAGGCATGGCAAAATTAAAATCTAAGATGCAAAAAAGAGTACAAGATAGGAATCACTAAAATTATTTGAAATACAAAATGAGTGAAGTTCTAGTAACAAAGTTGCAAAAAAAAAAAAAAAAAACACCCGCAATCACTACTACCCTATGCACAACCAACAAAGACTGCTGAAGGTGGGGAGAGAATGTGGGTAATTTTAAGAGCAGGAAAAAATATGAGATAACCATCAAAAAGAAAAGTGCTTTTGTGTCACTGAATGGGAAGAAATGAATGTGGAATGTAAATGAGTTTAGCATGAGAGAAAGGAAAATTTAACATGTAAATAATGAGGAAACCAGAAGGTAAAATGGGCTAAGAGAAGGAAGGCACAAACTATGTGAATTAAAGTAAACTACAGTATAAAATCTAGTGACTAATGTATACAAACTTGATAGACAATAAATGGAACATTAGAAAGCTATGCAGGAAAATATTGCGAATCATGGAGACAATCATTTTTTTTTTTTGTCTCGACAACATCTAGTATTTACTACTGTTTTCTTCTTTCTGGATCCACCTCTGCTGATGTCAGATGGTGACCCTGACCTTAGGCACCTGTCCAAGACTTCCAGAGATCTGCTGTATGTGGCTAACACTTTTGTATGTCAATCTAGTCAATCTGCACTGAGCTGTCAGACTTAAACACCACAGAGAAAGGGCAAAGACCCTCCTGGCATCAGAGTTGTTGTTTCCTCAGACTGCTGCCTCTCAGAGGAGAGTGGTCTGCCTGAGGAGTATAGCTGCTAACTCAGCAAAAGGATCCCCTCCAGTTCTCTCCCCAAAGCTGCCATACCCAGTCTCTCTTCAGGTGTGTCTAGATACACTGAGCACACCATTGCTGGCATGCAGGGTAAGTGGCTGTAAATGAAAATTTGCACACAGACCTTAAAATGGTGTTTGTGTCTCCAGCCATTGGTCTCTGTCAGAGAGCAACCCTGCTGCTTTTCACTGCTAGTTGTTATCTGACTTTCTAGGCTCTGGTGCTCTAGGGTAGGGATACAAGGTTAGGGTTTACACACCATACTTCTCAGAGGGTCCAATTAGCCGTTTAATTATCCCTATGGCATTGCTATCTATGGACACCCAGCCAGTACTCTGAAGTCTCCACTGAAGTCCTTACCAGTCTGGTTGTGCTGAAGCAGATTGTCTGTCTGAGGTTATATGGCTTCTCTCATGCTACCATTCAATTACTTGTTCCAGGCAATATCTCCACATTTTAGTTGTAACTCTAGGTCAGTCCTGGGTGGAACGTAGTGTGACTTCTATTCACTCCTCTGTTATCTTGTACCTCTTACATTTCTTAAGTTCAGCCTTCTCTGCTGTATCACAACAAGTGAAAATGACCTGGCTGGTGTAGCTCAGTAGGTTGAACTCAGGCCTAAGAACCAGAGGATTGCAGTTCAATTCCCAGTCAGGGCACATGCCTAGGTTGCAGGCCAGTCCTGGCAGGGGATGCACGAGAGGCAACCATACATTGATATTTCTCTCCCTCTCTCCTTTCCTTCCCCTCTAAAAATAAATAAATTAAAAAAAATAAAAAAGTGCAAATGAGATGCACAATTGTCAAACACAGGTGTGTTATTTTTGACAAAAGAAACTGAATTACAAATGGACATCAGCTGGAAAAAGGAAGTTCTTGCTCTATGCTTTTTGGAATTAACAGGTAATTATTTTTAAATAAGTGAACCAAGGTGAAAAAAACATGAGGTAGACCCTGGCTGGTGTATCTCAGTGGATTGAGCTTGGGCCTGCGAACCAGACAATTGCGGTTTGATTCCCAGTCAGGGCACATGCCTAGGTTGCAGGCCAGTTCCCAGTAAGGGACACATGAAAGGCAACCATACATTGATGTTTATCTCCCTCTCTCCTTCCCTTCCCCACTAAAGACAAATAAATAAAATCTTATAAAAACAAACAAACAAACAAAAAACATGAGGTAGAAAGAAGATCCAGTAATTCTTGAAACCCCTAAGAATTTCAATAAATAAATAAGAAAAAACCAAAATGCAATAAAGTGTGTTTGGTGGGGGGTGTATAAGATACATTTACCTTTTGCAGTTTTATGTGCCTCAGTCTAACACAAAACTGGCTTAAGAAATCACTCACTCTATGTTGTTTCCAGTAATGCTGCTGCAAAAGGCTTCTGGAAAGCAATACTGGGTAAGATCTACAGGAAGTGAGCTTAAAACATTGCCTTTAAGAGTTAGGTAGGGTACTGAGTACTCTGAAGGGACAGATTCTCAATGGGAAAGAAGGTCCAGGACCTAGAAAGGCTCAGGATTCAATAAAATTAAAAACAAACAAACAAAAAACAATAACAAATCTTTCTTGTGTTGCTGTCACAGCTCGTGCTGCTGAAGACAGGACAAGTGTATCAAAGGTGTTAAAGTAAGAAAAGAGGTGGTGGGACCAGAATTCTTTTGTCCTAAATTATTCTGGTTCCATTTCAAGATGTGACTGTGGTCTGTAGCAGGTATCTGCTTCCTCCTGAGGCTCATACTCCTCTTGACCCTGCTCAGGCTTAATTTCTGACCTCTGGGCCTTTTTTGGCTGTAGATTTTCTTGAACAAGATCCTTACTCTCTCTACCCAGATTTACTTTCCACTGCCATCACTTCTCTAATGCCTGGACTCTTGTCCAACTTCCTTGATGCTCATGATTTCCCACCTACAATCATACACAGACAAGCATAAAGAAGTTCTTGGCCAGTGGTTAGTCCTGTGCTTCCTGCCTGCTTTGCCATGAGCCACACTGCCTTACCTCCAGAAGTGTATGGATCAATTTCAGGTCTGGAGACCGTCCAGCCTGCAACAGCTGCCAGATGCTATAGTTTTCATCCAGAGTCACCTCAAGCAAATCGCCCTCCAACATCTAGAGTTCCTCTAGAGTGGCCCGGGTTTCTTCAGGAAGGTCTAATACAGGGCCAGTCAATTGTGGTAACAATGATGACAGTGGCCCCAGGTCTAGAAGGTTATGATAACAGGATTTGTTAGAGGCTGTCTCTGGTTGTATCGCAAAGACAGAAAGGACTATCATAGGTCCCTTGTGTTGCTCAGTCAATAGTCTGCCCATACTAAGACTTACTAATTTTCATTACAAACTGTGCTAGGGCTCCCTTCTCAGGACCGGTCATCTTGTCTTTGTTCTCCAACAACCCTTGCACTTGTAAAAGAAAGCAGGAATGTGTAGCAATAATAGAAGAATTAAGCAGTAGTTTTTGCCTCTGGGGCCCAACTTTGGAACTCTTCTACCTTCTGCAGGAGAAATGCAGACACAGATTGAAAGCAAGAATAGTCCAGAGAGCTGAACAGGATGGAGAGAATGAGGCAAGGAGGATGGACAAAAGGAGACTGAAAATTAAGAGGATAGGTATAACTAAAACATAAATAGGAGTAGTGTCAGAAAATACAATTTAATGTCAAGAGCAGGGCTGCACAATTTACCTTAGGCAAATCCTTCTCACTGCCTTTTCTGAGACACTCAGATGCATGGACTGAAGGATAGGTAGAGTCCTCAGGCATGGGATCAGACTGGAGCTGCTGGTGAACTTTGGAGAGCTGCCCCAACAGAGTCATTAAATTTTTAGAAGCCACAGCCTGCCTGGCATGCCCTTGCCAGCCAATGGCTCTCTCTGTGAAGCACTGTAGGGCCTCACCCTCAGGCAGATGCACAGGCAGTCTCTGCAGAGCTACCAGCAGTGCTGGTATAGTCTCCAGGCGTGGGTGCCGTGGGCACACACACATTGGACACAGAAATTTGGTGTTCCACTCCCACCAGGCCAGTGGAGAGGATGAGGTAGAACTGAATTATAGAGAGCTGAATAGGTTGGGTATGGAAACACACCACCCATGAAACCAGTCCTGGCACATGTCACACTGTAGAGCTCCCACCAAAGCCAGCACCTGCCCCCACACACAAATGGAAGTTGCAGAGGAGACTGTGACTGATGATGCCAGTGGATAGGGCTTCATGGAGTTGGTGCAATAGAACTTCAGGATACCTTCCTTTTCCTTCTGTTCTTCCTCCTTGAAAGCCACTGTCTGTCATGACCAGGATAGGAGAAAAAGAGGTCAGGAGGAGCTGACCCTTCTCTAGTTCCTTTAACACCCTACTCCCAAATTAGAAGCAAGCAGTCTGCCCATGGTTACCCAGATACTTTCCATCCCCAGACTTTTCTCCTCATCTAGGCCCAAAGCCCTTACCATAAAGCCTGAGTCACTGAAAGCCTGTACAGACAATTGTAGCAGCTCTGTGCCAGACTGTCATGATTCAAACTCCTTGTCAATCCACCAGCTGCACCTGGTGCTATCTGAGCCCACACCTACACATGGGAAGAGCACCTGAGGCAGGCAGACACAACAGAAATGACTATGATTCCTCTACCTACTTCCCTTCCCTGCATACCACAATTTCCCATGTAATCATGAGTCATCTGAAGCCGGGCTAAAGGAGAATCCATGGGTGAGGGCTGACCCTTACCTCCATCAGTGTGTAACACGAACAATTCTTCAAGAAGACCTTAGAGGCTTTTTCCTTCCAGGAGTGTCCTCTCAGTATCTGTAAAATTAGCTGCCTCAGCTCTTCCAGACTCACAGGTAGGTCTGGACCCTCAGCCACCAGGCCCTCCAGGTCATCCAAGCATGGATAGTGATCAGCATTCTGAGATAGGGACAATAAAAATCTGTTTTGTTACAGCTACAACCATTGTATCTTAAATGTGCTGAACAATTCTGAGTATCTGCAACACAGACCTACACTAGTTTGAGAAAATATAGATGACTTTCTCCCAAAATTCCTAGTTTCACGGGCTTCAGAAAAATTCCACTTAAAAGGCCAGTTACATGGCATGCTTTGTTTCATCTGGCTCCCTCCTGACAATGTCTGCTCAGTGCTGGACCCATTAATCTCTCTATACTTCCTGTTAATCCTAATATCCACAGTTCCTTCATAAGTATCCCCAACCTGCTGCCTATACTTTTCAACCAAAACCAACTAAGTTACAAAGTAAAACTGCCTTTCTTCTGGTTGTACACCAACAGTAGGAAAGTAGAAAACAAGATTCTCACTTGGATCTCATCCACATCAGCTATCCATGCCTGTGCCTTAGTCAGAGCCTCTTTGAGTGCCTGGATATTAGGCAGAATTATCCAGGAATATTAGGCAGAATTCCTGGAACAGGAATTATTTTCTGCCTCACGAATTATGGTTTTCAATGTCGCTGGTGGATATTTCTGCCTAAACATATTGGAAGAAAGAGAAATCCATCCTTAAAATGTTACACATACACAGGCATGTTTTTGGTCCTGTTTCCTTGCCAAAGACATAGGACTATAAAATCTTCAATAAAGTGAGTGGGCAGTAATTGCTGAGGTCACAGGAACACTCTATACAGTGAAGCAGACATGCAAGTCACTTGTTATTCAGTTGTCATATCTGTCACCTGAGAAGTCAGTGTAAGAATATATTCCTAATTACTATTTTTACATAGTAGGAATATAAATAGGACTGCATAAAATGGTAACACCACTTCTTCATAGTTTAGCACATGCCTGGGTGTCTGGTGCCAATGTAACTATTAAAGTCATATACAGGGTGATTTACAAACTCTGAGGACTGGACTCTGGGCACATATGGGAGAAAGGCTAGGACCTACCTGGAATCCAGGCAGAAATGGGCCTTTTCTTCCCAGCGTTCTGCAATGGTCAGCAGCTCCCAAAGCTCAAGCCAGGCCTTGTCCAGAAGGGCTGGAGGCTACCTTGGTGCCAATAACCAACAGCCTTTGCGTAATAACTAGAGAGCCCTTTTGAGCTGTAGGGGCCACTGCTTGCTTCACTTCTAGCCATTGTGCCTGTTCCACCCATCTCTGGAGTTGATTAGCTTCAGATACCTCCACACCTACCTGCTGCCCTCTCTCTAACAGAGTCTGCAGCAGATCTAGACTGGGTGGTCGTGAGGCCAGAGCCTTCCTAGCCTCAGCTTGGTAGGCCTCCACTTGATCCAAGATATCTTGCAGAAATACAGGGTAAAGAACACATTTAGGCATCTGGACAATCAACTACCCAACCGTGATCTGCTCATCATCTCACATACACATACATTGTTGACTTACACTTAGTTTCAGCTGTGCCCTATGATAGGATATGCTTGGTATGAACAAAGATCCTATATTTATATAAACTGCTTTTCTTTTAATTATCTGAACTTTATTTTTCCAGATATACTTTATAGCATCTTGTCTTTTCGGACTTCTTGAGACTGAAGTTTGAAAAAGAACCCCCCTAAAGCCATAAAATTCTACAATCTCAAAAGTCATTATTTTAAATATCATATTTTATGACAGTTAACTTTGTTTGGAAGACTCTCCCCTTCTATTTTATGCTATTACATCAGTCAATATTGCATTCCTATCTTTGCAGCTTATAAAAAGGTCATATTATAAGGACCTACTTAAAACAATCACGTTCTCAAAGTTTCTATTGTCTCAGACTTGGCTAGTACGTCTGAACAAAAATGCAATCTTATTAGGCTCATCTTCACCTTGACATCCCCAGTCTGATCCATGGCACAGGGCAATCTGCTCATCTGCTCAAGAAGGGCCCACAGCTGTGTCAGGGTCAGTTGTGGTGAATCAATCACATATGAGTCAGGGAGAAAGGACTCACTAAGTGAATTTCCGAGGTCATACTTCATGCATTCAATACCCTTATTTCCCCTCAATGATGTAGTAGTTATCTCCAAAGAACATCTACATTCAGGAACTGTGAACCAGAATGAACCAGTATAAACCAGTATGTTAAGGTGCCCATCAGTAAATGAATGGATCAAAAAATCATGGTACATATACACAATGGAATTCTATGCAGCAGAGAGAAAGAAGGAGCTACTACCCTTTGCAACAACATGGATGGAACTGGAAAGCATTATGCTGAGTGAAATAGGCCAGGCACTGAAGAACAAATACCATATGGTCTCTCCTTTGACAGGAAGCTAAACAATAAAACAAACAAGCAAACAGAATAAAAACAAAGGCACTGAAATAGAGAACAAATGGGCAGCGACCAGAGGGGAGAGGGAAGGGAATTTAAGGGGAAAAATGGGGAGGGATTTTGAGGAACAAGTATGAAAGACACAGGGATGAGGACTGGGGTGAGGAATGGGAGGGAGGGGGGAGACGGGGCAGGGGGGGTGGGAAGGGAGAAATAGATTTAAAAAATGTACTTGAAAAATAACTAAATAAAATTTATAAAAAAGGAAAAACTGGCAAAATATATAGATGATATTTCACCCAAAGAAGAGAAATATGATGATGTGAAGAAATAAATTTAAAATAAAACTAAAAAAAAAGATGACTGAAGACTTGAGAACATTTTACATAAGATACCATGGTAACAGTTGGTAAGAGACGATACCAGAGAAAGACAATCAAACATCCTCAGGAAAACAGTATAAAGTGAGTTTTTTTAGATAAGAAGAAAATAATACAGCCTTCCCTTTGAGAGAATGAAAATGTCTGTGAGATGGCCCTTATACAGCTCTTATTTTGTATAGAGATGTAAGTTAAGATGTATAAGGAGATCAAAATAAGGAAATGAGACTTTACAAAAGCAACTAGCCAGCAGGACATCATAGTAGTACCTTTCACGGTGAGGTTAAACGTAATACATTTATTTAACTGGAGTGACCACAAGAATTTTTTTAAGCAAAACACATGGAAGAATTAAGCAGCACAGTGTTGTGTGATGATATAACAATAGATACTCAAATAAATATAAGAGCTCATTGTGGAACAGTCTATGTGATGATAAGTTTTAGGATATACTCTTTGAATGTAATTGCTAGAACAAATGAGGCCAACAGGTTGAAGGGATGACAACTTGAGATAGATAATCACTGTATAAGTATTAAAAGCTTAAGGCCACCTGATATGACCATCACCAGGTCAACATGGGAAAGTTTGAATTTCCTCTGCACAGAGCTCCTATATGAAAAGGTAACTCACTGCTACCATCTTTACTTTTTAAAGACAAAATGGTTAGTAAATACATAATATACAGATGATGTATTATAGAACTTTACACCTGAAACCTGTATAATTTTATGAATCAATGTCACTCCAGTGAACTAATTTTTTAAAATAAAATACAAGCAACAACAACGATAAACAGAGAGAGGAATACAAGGACCCAAGAACAATTCACTGTACTTATTGGAAGTTTACCATGTAATGAAACTACTGTATCAAGTTGGGAAAAATGATTTAATGAATGGCTTGAGGACAATTCACTATTGTTATAAAAAATAAACTTCATTCAGAAAATATACTGCAAATATATTTTGAAACTATAATAAAAACTGAAAAACTCTGAAGAAGTATATTTTTACACTATCAGTTTTATCAGCTGATGAAAAAGAAGGGATGGAAAGTACATAAAGAGTGTTCTGATAATTTTTACCATGAAATGTTTTCCAGGACAAAGGAGTTGCTGAAGCAAAAGATGTGATGATCACTGTACACTTAGTGATAGGAGAACTGGGTAAATTCAGTAGTGGAAGCTTTGAGGATAGCCACTGGTCTGAATTACAAAGCCTGTTTGTTAGTCCTTATGGCTGAGCGGAGGTGTACAAAGTGACTGTTAACTAAGGGTGGAGAAAATCCCTTGATCATTATAAGTAAAACAGTTTTTTTGTCTGCTTTTTAAAAAATATCTGATAAATAAAGCATACATATGTGTATGTATATGTATACATACATATATATGTATGTGTGTATGTGTATATATATACATATATATGTATACACACACATATATATACACACACACACATATATGTATTTTCTTTAATCCAGACAGCAGCCAAGTTCTGGCCAAAGGTAAGGAAGGAGAATGAGGGCAAAAACAAAGGGAAGGAACAAGTCAAGGAATATATGTGAATGAACATAAGGACATAGACAATAGATTGGGGATTGGCCATGGGAGGCAGGGTGAGGTGAGAGGAGGGTAAGGAGGGAGAACTGGGACAATGGTAATAGAATAATAAAAAAAATAAACATAAGTAAAAATTCTTAAGAATTTCTTAAAATCTGACTTTGACATTGTGATTAGCAAATGCTGTTCTACCTCTATCTGAAATTTATAAAACATATGTATATTATCACTCCCTTGATTTTTCAGCCAGAAAGCCAGATGTATCTATTATGATACACATATGACAAGCAGTAAGTAAGGAAAATGTGAGAATTTCACTTTAATACACATAGGCAAAAATGAATTTTGTGGAAATCCTGATGCCTGAATACTTTTATGAAGTTTGCCTAGCAAGAATGTCAGGACTGCAATTCTATCCCATCTTCACCCCCAGTGTTGTTCATGGTGGAAGTCTGAACTATAAGCAGTTCTCAGATATAGTTCAGGTTCCGTTCCAGACAACTGCAATAAAGTATCCTAATAAAGCAACTCATCATCTTGTTGCCTGGTAGAGGGTTTTGCTCTCAATTTGTAAAAACACAACACTCATGAAGCAAAGTGAAGTGCCATGAAGGGGAGATACGCCTCTGCATGCTATGTTTGAAATTTCCTATTCTCAGTGTCTTCAAGTTTTATTATATTGTTTTCATATTTATCTTGCCATTCTCACTATCTTCAACTACATTACCAATTTAAGTCTGGTCACCAATATGGGCATATATTACTTATTACCTTTTGTTAGGCACATTACTTATGAGTTACCCTCTTTTTAATCCATTTTTACATAGTGCCACCCCTTTTTGCCCTTCTAACATACCTAGCCTCTTGACCACTGACCAACCCCAGGACTTGGGAGACACAAGCTTCTGCCTCATTCAGACAGTTCTTCAATTGCTGAAGCAGCTCACTGTTTGGAAATTGTTTCTTATGGGCTTCAGACTCCAGTGTCCTTAGCTCTTCAAAGCCTGGAGACAGAGTAAAAGTTGAAGTGCTACCAAAAAGTGGAGGAATAAGGCTGAAAATACTAACAAAAAAACAGCCTGCCCATGGACCTTTCCATTTATCATCACCAACTGCATTTCTGGCCATCCTCCACATCTAAGGCCACTCATACTCTGTTGGCCCAAGAGTCAAAGGACTCAGCCTAAACCTCTAGTTTATGCAGTGTGATGGGTAGCTCATCCAGGTTTGTGATACCTGGTAAAAATGGGTAAGAAAAACATCTGGCCCAGCATTGTAACTCCCGTGTCCTCTAAAAGTAGGCCCCATGCTCACCGTAGGTCCTGTTGGCTACTTGGGCACTTGCAGAGGTCACTGTTGTGGCAAAGGCAGACAAGTCCACCTGGGTAGTTGTAGCAGGCTAGAGCCAATAGGAAGCATGTTGTCTTACACTTCATGCAGTGGCACTCATCATTGGGGAGCAGCTCGAAAGCCTCTCTCTCATTCAGCCTCCGTGATGCCCTGGGGGTGGTTCAACCCACATATACTGTAAAGACTAGGAGCAGGGATATGGACACCCCACCTCAGCCAACACTGAGCCTGGCTATGGACTCAGCCTTGTAAGGATAGCTGTAGAAAAATCGGAAGAAATAAATATAAAGACATACAGTCTCTGCCTTTTCATTTCAAAATGTCTGACTTAGAGATGAGGCATAGAATACTTATTCACTTTTGACTTTGTCTCTCTACATAATTTACTTGGACTGATTTTCCACAAGTCCTAGTCAATACCACCCACCTTCTCCAACAGGGCTTTTCGTAAATGTTATTCCTACTGCACTATTATGAACATGTCCTTGTGCACAGTCATAGCCAGATTCAGATCCAACTTCTCCTGGAAAGCAGCCATTTTGCAGATAAGCTCCCTCAAGGAAGAAGCTGGAGTGCTGGAGCTGGCGATAGTGTTCAATACACTGGTGTCCAGCCAGCAGCTACAAGTAATTTGAAACAGTGTGGCTACCTGTAATTCACAGTGCTTAAGATGCTTCATAGTGAACACTACTTTTACCCCTATGTCTATCTCTAAGCCCACCACATCCCACACTTACCCGGTCAGCAGTGCAAAAGGTGACAGCCTCTGCAAAGTTGTATCCTTGGTTAAAGCCGCTGTGATAAATATGAGGGAAAGTGATGACAAATTCTTCTGCACTCTGGTTTGTGCGAACAACCTAAAAAAAAAAACAAAAAAACACCCTGGCTGGCATAGCTCAGCTGACTTGAGTGCAGGCCTGCGAACCAAAGTCTCTGGTTTGATTTCCAGTCAGGGCACACAACTGTGTTGTAGGCAAGGTTCCCCAGTAGGGGCCATGCAAGAGGCAACCACAAGTACATATTTCTCTTCCTTCTTTCTCCCTCCTTTTCCTGTCTAAAAATAAATAAAATCTTTAAAAAAGAGAGAGAAAGGGTATAAGTCACACTAATGGAATGCATAAGAATGTCTTTGAGTATTATGATACGTGAAGGGAAACCAAGAGACCTAGGCTCTATCTTTGGTATGTGTATGACTTAAAAAAGAATATGAGTGAGGTTAAAAGTAATATTCAAGGAAAAGTACAAAGAAAAAGCATGTGCAATATACAAAACAGAAATGGTCCATATACATGTGAAGAAAATTCTCAATTTCTTCAGTTAGTAAGAAATGCAAATTTACAAAAGTCAGAAATTAATACCACCATAAATAATGGAAGAGAAACTCCAGAATTTCATTCCTCTAGTAACACAATAATTAAGCTGGCAGAAAGGGTCAAAACTCATTTTCAGAACTCTAATAAAAATCACAATCTACAAGTAGCAAAATAACATTTAATAGAAAAACACAATAAAAAATTACTTCTGAATTTTCATAAAAGAGGACTGCTCACAAAAGAGCGAGGGCCCTTTGCCTGTCCTTTTCCTCAGAAAGCTGTGTCTTCCTGCATAGTGCCAGCCACAACAACCCTGAGACACAATTGTGAAATTTGGCATGACAGATTTGTCCATATTGGGCACCTTGTAATCAGGGCTGGTTTTGACTCTGGCAGAGTGCATACTGTCATCTTCAATGACCCCTTCATTAACCTCAACTACATGGTCTACGTGTTCCAGTATGTCTCTATTCAGGGCAAATTCAAAGGCACAGTCAAGTCTAAGAGCAGAAAGCTTGTCATCAGTGAAAAGCCCATCTCTGTCTCCCAGGAACGAGATCCCACCAACATCAAATGAGGTGATTATGGTGCTGAATATGCTGTGGAGTCACTACCACAGAGAAGGCTGGGGCTTACTTGGAGGGCAGCACTGGGGGGGAGTCATCACCTCTGCCCCTTCTATAGATGCCCCCATGTTTGTGATGGGTGTGAACCATGTGAAGTACGATAACTCCCTCAAGATAGGTAGCAATGCCTCCTGCACCACCTGCTGCTTGACCGCCTTGGCCAAGATCAGCATGACAGCTCTGGCATTGGGGAGTGACTCATGACCATAGTCCATACCATCACTGCCATCCAAAAGACGGGATGGAACCTCTGGAAAGGTATGGTGTGATGTCCAAGGGGCTGACCAGAGAATAAATGCTACTTTGGCTCTCTCAAGGCTGTAGGCAAGGTCATCTGTGAACTGAACAGGAACCTCACTGGCATGGCCTTCCATGTCCCTACCCACAATGTGTCAGGTATGAATCTGACCTGCCACCTAAAGAAAGCTGCCAAATATGATGACATCAGAAAGGCAGTGAAGCAGACATCAGATGGCCCTTCAAGGGTGACCTCTGTGACTTTAACAGTGATACCCTGTCTTCCACCTTTAATGGCAGAGCTGGCACTATCCTCCTTGACCACTCTGTCAAGCTCATTTTTTGCCATGAAAATAAATTTGGCTACAACTACAGGGTGGTGGACCTAATGGTTCACAAGGAGCAAATGCCTCCTGGACCACAGGATCCAGAGAGAGAAAGAGAGGTCCTTAGCTGCTGGGTAGTCCGTGTTCCAAATCAATTCCCTGAAACTCTTCTGGACTCTGCGAACAGTTCCCCTTCCTGAAGAAGCAGAGGAGATTAGGGAGGATTCTACTTTGTCATGTAGAATCAATAAAATTCATTGTACCCTCCCTCCAAAAAATCAAGTAAAAAAAGAAAATAAGTGAGGAGGTGTGTTTAGGAAGTAGGTTTTGATCTGATGGCTCAAGGACTTGCATTTATTTCACCTGAGTTTGCCCAGAATGCAAATAGCTCACCAGCCTCTGTCTGTTCAAAGTATATAAAGACAAATGTATTAGCCAAAGCACAGTCACTTGCATTAAGAGAAGAGAGACTAGGTAAACAACAAAAATTCTAAAATGCATGAGGAAGAAAAGGAGGGGTAAAGAGGTAACTTGTGGAGTAGTTAAGGGCTCTGAAAAAGCTCCCTTATATCTGTGAATTGAGAATTCTAGGAAAAGAAGTGAGCAGACTCTGACATCCCACCTCAGGTGGACTTTTAGCTAAATAATCTACCTACTATTACCACAAAAAACCAGCAACAAAAAGAATTGGAAAGGGTAATTGTGGCTAGAATACGCTTTTCTGAGTAGCCATAACATAATTCTCAAAACAGTTTGCTTTAAATAAAAAGCAGGAGGCATACAAAGAAACAAGCAACTAGGACATGTTCAGCACAACTAAGGTAATGCAGATATCAGATATAGTAAAAAAAGACTAAAAATAAATCATCTTAAATAGGCTCTAATTCAAGATACAATGTTTAAAAAAATGAAGAAAAGCAGAAGAATAATGGCCCCCCCAATATAGAAACTCTCAATAAAGAAATAAAAGAGACTTTTGCCAAGATGGAGGCGTAGTTGGAAGCACTTCGCCTTCTCGCACAACCAAGTTTAAAAACAACAAAGTTTTAGCAACAAAAACAGCCAAGTTACAGAAAATTGAACTACACAAAAGTCTGACAACAATGAACCCTTCAGCCAAATGGGTAAGAGGGGCGGAGCCAGCAGCAGACCAGGGTTGGGCAGGAAAGATCCACCGTACCGGGGCACACAACCCAGGCGCTCCAGCAGTTGTGGGTGGGTCCCAGGTGTGGAGAAGCGGCTGGACCCACTGAAGTCAGACCGTGGTCACACATTTGCAGGCAGATAAACCTGCAAAGGAGCTAGCGGTGCTGAGATGGACCATGCAGGCCCCAGCTGCAAAAAGCTGCAGAGAGAACTGTCATTGTACTTCTCTGATCCCACCCCCATGCACAGTGTCACAAATCAGCGACCTGGGTGGCCCCACCCTGGTAAAAAACTAACGGTTGGCTCCTCATACTTAACAGGCATGAACAGATCAAAACATGGCTCAAGAACAACTCAGAGCCCCAGAGCCAATAAATCTAAGTAATGAAGAAGTAGCCAAACTTTCAGAAGCACAGTTCAAAACACTGGTGATCAGGATGCTCACAGAACTGGTTGACTTTAGTCACAAATTAGAGGAACATGTGAAGGTTAAACTAATTGAAATGAATGGTAATGCACAGAAAACCAATAGTAATGGAAAGGAAACTGGGACTCAAATTAAGGAAGTAGACCAGAAGGAAGGAAAAAATGACCAAACAGAAAAGAATGAAGAAACAAGAATTCAAAAAATGAGGAGAGGCTCAGGAACCTCCAGGACATCTTTAAATGCTCCAACATCCGAATTACAGGAGTACCAGAAGGGGAAGAGGAAGTCTCAAGTGGAAACCTTATTTGAACAAATAATAAAGGAGAATTTCTCCATTCTGGCAAAGGCAATAGACTTCCAGGAAATCCAGGAAGCTCAGAGAGTCCCAAAGAAGTTGGACCCCAAGAAGGAACACACCAAGGCACATCATCATTACATTAGCCAAGATTAAAATGAAGGAGAAAATCCTAGAAGCAGCAAGTGATAAGGGTACAGTCACCTACAAAGGAGTCCCCATTAGACTGTCAGCAGATTTCTCAGAAGAAACCTTACAGGCAAGAAGGGGCTGGAAAGAAGTATTCCAAGTCATGAAATCCAAAGACCTACATCCAAGATTGCTCTATCCAGCAAAGCTTTCATTTAGAATGGAAGGGCAGATAAAGTGGTTCTCAGATAAGATCAAATTCAAGGTGTTCATCATCACCAAGCCCTTATTATATGAAATGTTAAAGGGACTTAGCTAAGAAAAAGAAGATAAAAAAGATGAACAGTGAAAGGACAGCAAACTCACAGCTATCAACAACCACACCTAAAACAAAAGCAAACTAAGGACAGCTAGATCAGGAGTGAACCATAGAAATGAATATCACATGGAGGGTTAGCAACAGAGGAGTGGGAGGAGGAGAAGGGGGGAGAAGGTACAGAAAATAAGTAGCATAGACAGTAGGTAGAAAATAGGGGGGAGGGCAAGAATAATAGGGGAAATACAGAATCTAAAGAACTTGAGACATGTGGTCATAAACTAAGGGGGGGAATGGTGGGGGAGGGGGTGGGCAAGTTGGAGGGGAATGTAGGAGGGAACTAGAACAACTGTAATGGCATAATTAATAAAATATATTTAAAAAGAAATAAAAATTAGAAAAAATAAATAGAAAATGTTCTGAAAGCTAAAAATTACCATGGTTAAAGTGAAATTCATTAGATGGTTTCAACAGATTAGAGCAGGCAGAAAAATCACTGAGCTGTAAAAGAGGTCCATTAATATCATCCAATCTGAGAAGCAGAGCAAAAAGACAATGAAAATAAACACATCATAAAATACCTATAGGTCGCCATAATTAAACAATCTATATATATTGGGAATCCTGGAAGAAGATGGGATTAATTGGCAGAAAGAATACATGAAGAGCCCTGGCTGGTATAGCTCAGTGGATTGAGCACGGGCCTGTGAACCAGAGGATCGCAGTTCGATTCCCAGTCAGGGCACATGCCTGGGTTGCCGGAAGGTTCCCTGCAGGCCAGTTCCCTGCAGGGGATGCACTAGAGGCAACCATACATTGATGTTTCTCTCCCTATTTCCTTCCCCTCTAAAGATAAATAAATAAATAAAATCTTAAAAAAAAAAGAATACATGAAGAAACAATCACTGAACAATTCCAAATTTTACAAAGTAATAAATCTCCATACTTATGAGTCTTATTGTACTCCAGGTAAAGACAGTAAAATCAAACTGTCAAATGCTAACAAAAGAGAATACTGAGAGGAGCAAAGAAGGATGCAATT